TGTCCATATATACCAATTAATTCGATAATTGACTTATTCCCTAGATACCTGCTCAAACTTCAATATAAAGTAAAGTCTTAGTTCTTTCATTTCCTATAAGAAAGTTTCCTCTGAGATTCCAGGTATCGGAAAACAGGCTTTACGAAATTTGCAATGTTCTTGAATTTGCAGAAAACGTAAATTTGAGAACCTTTAGCAAAAAAATTGAAATAAGAGCACATCCTTCGATCCAAAAATTAACCATTTTTATAATCTTTATAAACAAGGGTCCAAGTGGTATCTAAAACTGCAATTTTAATTTTTCAGACATTCACAGGGCCGAAAAAGCCCCCAAGTGAACTTTGTTCTTTCCTGGTAATTTTCATATATTTCACGGGTACAATTTTAGTACTAATCCCCCAGCACTTTTTGTTTAAAGTGTTATTTAATGCTTCGAAACACTTAATACTGACATAACTGTCCGAGAATTATCAGTACTTAAGCCTGTACATCTGACTAGATATGTCATGAAACCTCTCTCGTGATTCAGATATTAAATTCTATCATGTTTTTACGTGTTCTGAAGTGGAAAAATTATTCCAATCGATAGATTCCTTATTTATATACAGCTCAGGAAAAACAGCTGTCAAAGATCGCTGCAATCTACAAATCGATGTGGAATGTAAGACTCCAGTACCATAAAAAGTCTATTTCAACCCCCATATATCATATTAAGATTATGTAGGTATGAATTTTATGATAAAATTCAATATATTCTGTATGCATTATGAAACTGAACGTGCTTAAATTTTTATCAATAACGAAAACTTTCTGAAAAGACATTTGATTAAATATTTGCATTTTCTGTGTTAATTTATATCGTTATTTCAACCAAACATAAAAGATTAATCCACATTAATTTCCCAAGAGAAAGTTTCTTGTGAAAGCTCAGCTGCTGATTTTACTCTCAATCCGATGCTCTAATTACTGCATAATGACGTGCAACATCTGTGAAAATTCTTAGATATTCTAACTGTATTAGGGCTTTTCTCACACACGGTTCCCGTATATGTTGCAACACAAAAAATATTTTCACCAAGAACATAAACCACATCGTAAATCAATAGTAATCACCTTAGTTTCTATACTTTGATTTTTCCTCAGGGGGTGTAGGTTAAAATATGTATTTCCATCAAATAAATTTATATATTTGAAAAGCTTACGTAGTCAAATACACTGTACATCAATAATTCAGCATATTTGCATGTAGTGTTTAGGTGTTCAAAAAGATAAATGCATTACATTCCAGTCTTTCCTTCAGAATAAAAGTGCATGAAAACAATTTCTTTAAAGCAAGAAAGATCACCATACATCTTTAAACTCTGGATTTTTTCAATTTGGTTGAATCTGAATCTGTCTTCCATTCTCTATCGATATCATATGTTACTATAGAAATGCTGCGTAAACACCCAGGAGTTTGACCACTAGATTCGATTTGTGTCATTTTACTTCATTTTATTTGATTTTGAAAGATCTTACAGATTCACAAATATAAAGAAGCTTGTTCTGGTATGTATCAACGTTTCAAATGGTAGAAATGTCTACAGTCTTCCATATCAAACATAACTTATACATTCCCAGAACTTACAAGTTACAGTAAAGCAAGGGTCAATGCAAATTCAGTCCTTTTTTCAGAATTGTGTTTCTCTCATTTCTAATGAACTTCCTCATTTTCAATTCATTTTTGCTGGTGAAAACACAGTTCGCAGTTAAACACAACATGCACTTTACCTTTTGGCATAAAAAAATTCTTACGAAAAAAATGTCAGCTTGCGCTCTATGGTTTTCTAAGGCAAAATGCATCTTTCCGATTATTTTTAAAGCAGAACTAAACATAACAAAAAGAATTTGGATTTTGGAGTTGGGGTAGGGTGAGGTGGATTTTAAAAAAAAAGTCATGGCGTTATGGTGATCGTTAGGTGTTTTGCACTTAAAATCAATGGTCATTTTTGAATTTGCATAATCACAGGTGTTTGATTATTCTATGGCACTGTCTTATGACTTAACAATGACCAATAACGACCCATTTCCTTGTTCTTTAATGTTTAGAGAGGTAATGGGAAAAATAAAACCTTTTTTTTAAATAACGAATAGCATGTATTACATGTACACATATTTCAATTGGTAAATCTTAAACATGCAAACAATTGCAAACTGGCATTGGTCAAATTCAGTTTGCATTTAAATTCACTGAATTTTATGGAAGCTCTCTTATTTATTCAAAAATGGAGTGCTCTTGATCAGTCATTATCATTGTACCAACAGGATCCAATATAGGAACAAGTTAATTAATTCTTAGATAAATGACTGAATCAGAGATGTAGAATGTACGTATTTAGAACACAGAGGAGCAACTAAAATATTTCTTTAGAAATTAGAATCATCTCCTCCAAAATTTACTTCTTCAGTTAGCATTTACACCAACAACTGAAAAAAAAATGATTCGGAATGGAGAGAGGGGTGGATACAAAATCTACACATGTGGAGGGCATTCATCGATCATATGCCTTGTGAGAAACATTTAGAAAAGAAACATGGCCTTTCTTCTTTTTTTTATTACTCAAACCTGACACCATTTTTACGTTAGAACTAACTGATCAGTCTAACTGTCTTATGGAATGTTCTTGAACTGATCAAAATGAAACGGAAATGCACCCTGGTGATTTTACAATTAATCTTCTCTTCAGCTGCTCCATAGTATCTGTTGTCGTGTTCTTTTCTTCACTCCCTACTTGCTTTTCACTATTATTAATGATAATTACAGAGTTCATGTCGCTACCATTACTTGTCTGCAATGTGACATTGTCGCCCAATCCCTCTAGAGGAGCTGTTTGATCTAATCAGTCACAATACTTGTAAAACAGGAATTATGTAATACTAGAACATCCCCGAGAAGAAGTTTCGAAAATTCTCTGAAAATTTAAGTATTAGAAAATAGTTGTCCCATGTTGTGTGCTTTATCCTTGTCTTGATTGATAAACTTGAATGTCGCCTTAGTTGTTGTAAAAGTTTAGCTAAGCCATGGAATGCAATTAATAAGTATGTACGTAGTATGTATCATATCTACACGTACTTCTTTATGTTAAAAATATAAGCCCTAATTCAAACTGATATTTAAGAAATTAATGTGCGATTTGTTACAATCCAGTTGCCATATATTTACACGATGACAAAGTGTATGTTAAATATTTGTAAAACGTATAATCATTTTATTTGTCTGCAATGTTACAAAAGCCAAGAAAACACGACTGTTTTTCAACAACTAAGTAATTATTATCTTTTGAGTTTATATTTAAGTAAAACAAAATTATCTTTTTGGATGGTAATAATTTGTTATTATTTCTGTTTAAAACATATTGTCTTTGTGTGATTTTAACACGGATAAGCATAGTACAATCTTTAGCGAATTAGCCCTTTTTCCATTTGTCTGCGTGGGTATCTGTGTGTTATAAATGAAAAAAAAATAAATTGAATGCATTTACATAAATATACCTTTTTCGTACCTCTCTGTGCTAATATTTACAAGATGAAACATAAAGACATAAAAGGGGATAATGCGACCCACAAGTACAGCGCTTTGTTTGAGCTTCAGATGAAGTTCATGTATGTTTAGCAACATATATCGATATTGATCTTCTGTTGGTCCATGTTTGAAGGGGCGGTAATTGATTCCCTAGATCTTTTTATTACATCCGTTCATTGTTTTCCCTCCTGATATTTACACAGGTATTACTTAATATTATATATCACATGCTATTTACTTCGTCTGAAATTGATTAATTTATTGTTTACAGATAATATCTTGATAATACTCAGTTTAAACATGATATGAAAGTGCGACAGAACAGTGATCGAAATATTAAATTCAGTTTATACCAAGTATGAAAAATTAAATTTCGTAATTGTTTTTGTTTGTTTGTTGCTTAACGTCCCTCTCGAGAATTTTTCACTCACATGGAGACGCCACCACTTGCCGGTGGACAGCTGCAAATTTTGACCTATGCTCGGCACTTAGGGCCATTGAGCAGTGAGAGATCTTTTTCATGCCAGCACCTACTGCGACACGGGACCTCGGTTTTTACGGTCTCATCCGAAGGACCGGTCTCCACGTCCCACAGTGGGATTCGAACCCGCGACGTAAGGATCAACTCCTTACTCCGCGACTCTAGAGCAGACGCTCTACCACTGCGCCACGCGGGCGACTAAATTTCGTAATTTGTGATCAAAATACGACTAAATTTGTACTGTGGTATGGTAATGGGACATTATTGAATTTCGTAATCCTCGACATTTAATTATGTAAATTTGCATTATCGAAACATAGTGGTGTTAAGATAATGCTCGAGTTTAATTTTTGTCTGCAAAATTTAGGATATGTAATTTTTCAATAAAAATCAGGGTAATTAATTAACAGATTTTGATTGTGAACTCATTGAGAAACAATCCAAGAAAGAAAGCTATGATAAATATATTCCGGAAAACAAAGTTTACAACATCAAAAATACACACATTCATAGTATAAACTCAAAGTCAACACAGTTGTATTAAATTTTTCAAAACTACATGTTTGGATGTCGGAATATTACCTATTTACATATGTAGCCTATGAAACTGATAACGATTGCAAGTTTGGATTTACAAACTTACAAGTCTGGATTTTTTAACACGATTACCCTACGCTTCATAATTTTTAAGGTAATGTTATATTGTCGCTTAAACTCTACAATCACGTCCACCAAATTTGTGATAATCTTAAACATTTGAATCAAAACAATATCACATTTTCTACATGGAATACTAATGCACGGAATTAGGCTCCTTCTCGTTTCTGATGTCCCTCGAACATTTGGTTTCTTTAAAAGTTCTTTAAAATAAATTTAACGGAAATAAATTCAACAGTAAGTTATATATGAAGTTCAACTGCTATGCCAAAAGACAAACAATAAACAAAGCAAGCTTACCGACACTCGTATCAAAGCCACCGAGGTATTCCGAGGTCATGAACTGTTGTGTTAAGGCTGTTTTCCCCACCCCCTGGGCTCCCATCATTAGGATCCGATAAGGTTTCTGATGCTCCGTTAGACTTGTCTGTGACGTTGAGCTCGATGTTTGGGACAAAGCACCATATTCACTTTCCGAAGAAAAAATACTGTTATTACTCCTTGATATCAGGGAGTCCCCACGATTGACCAAACCTTTGGCTGTCTTTTCAAAGCTTCTGAGTCTGTACAAATCATGTTCGCTATCTTCATATAAGATCCCCGCTGATTTGATTGCTAAAAGGTTGGGTTTTTTAAAGTTACTTTTAGAGGGCAAACTGCTAGTTCTAGGACGCATATCATCGAGCTCGAAGTCCTCAGGCGGTCTTACTTTGGGCTTTTTCATTGACGTAGATCGCACGCGCGGTCTTGGTGACACGTGCAGGGCCCTCATTGCAATCTCCGCCATGGCTGGACTGGTAACCTTCTTGTGTCTGTCGTTGTCAGTGATGCTTAATCCGTTCATTGGCATTGATTTCTAGATCAAAACAAACACATCGTTTCCATTTTGTCGTAAATGCTGCGAAAGTTAACTGCCAATCACACTCCTAAAGTTGTGTGTTTATTCAAAGTTAGAAACATAAATCGTCATGCACATGTTAGTATGCAAAACTTATTGTGGACAGAGTTCACTTATGAAAAGGCAATAAATATACAAAATATTAAAATAAGACAATCAGTTAAAACAAAGTATGATGCGGAAAATAAATATTTGCTCAAATAATAAACACTATCATAAAAAACTCCATGAAATTGCGAGGTTATTATGACAGGCTGAGCTTATATTGCTTAGACGGCCGCGAAGAAACTGCACTGACAGCTGATTGGTCAATTTTACGTTGCTGAACTTTTAATATAAAGGGGAAAAAATCAATACAAACGGTTATTTATTCACGTTCCTCATGTGTCATTCATAAATATGTACACCCGTAGAAAAAAGGACCACGCTTAATTAAAGGGGGGCCACCTGATCCGGAATCGATACAAAACCTGAAGCCTTAAATACTTTTTTATGTTGATAGGTAATTGGAAGATACTGACGACATTGCACGGAGTAACAAGGTAAACATGTGCACCGACTCCCAGGCAAACAAAAGACGAGTACGACAATATACTAATAAAAAAGAATGAATCACGAACTTATATGAGTAGGTCTTGTTTTCTTTTAAAATTAATTACGCATTTTCTAAATATTGATTTAAAGATTACGTCACTTGTTTTGTTTTTATCTGTATTTAAGTAATATGAGAGTGTTTTTATTTTCGAATCAACAACATAAGCAATTGTTTACTAACAATAATGAATTTACATAGTACTAAAATCAATATAGAGTTGTTTGAGAGAAACGTGCTTAGCAGCCTTTTTTCACAAACTTCTTAAACAAATCCTTACCTTTTTACATATACTCATGACCAACTTTCTTTTCATTGCTTTGAAAAAAAAACAAACAACAAAATTCTTACGCCATATTAATTCTGTCCATTAATTGCTAACCCTGCTTTCCTACTAGAACTAGAAAATCCACACAGTCAGCGAGGGCCCCATTTAGGGTTGTCACAGGACAACTGTACGTTTTATTCCAGTGTTTAATTAAGAAATGAATTTCATTTTTGAAGATTCATGAGGACATGAACTACGACGCTTCACGCCGGCATATTTCATGAAGCGCGTTAGCGCTTCATGATAAATATGCCGGCGTGAAGCGTTGTAGTTCATGTACCTCATGAATTTTCAAAAATGAAATTCATTTCTTATATTTACATTATTGTTTTGATGCGTTTCCACAAGTTACACCATTCAACTGTCATTTTTGAAGCAAAACCGTTTGCACTATAGTTTTGACGTCAAGTACGGTATTATGACGTAACAATAGAGATATTCATGCTCATCTCATGGTAGTTCATGAGAACAATCTTTTAATTTGCAAAGAATCTTAAGGAGGTTGGATCCTGACATCAAAAGTAATGAGAATTTTTTATCAAGTATATTTTTAGAATTTATACACATAGCTTAATTAAAAATCAAAACAAAAAATTGGGGTCAATGCGCTTGTTTTGGCGCTACAGAGCATTTAGTTTGACCTTTTTGCACTGTAAAAAATCTTACGCATGAATCAATTTTTAAAGTTTTTCCTCCGATATTTTTTATTCAAATAAGTTATGGGAACAAACACAGTTTTATTTCATCTTGAAGGGACCCATTAAAATTTTTGACAACGAAATTTTTTTTTAAATTACTCCGCACGTTCAATTATTTGACCTTTTTGCACTCAAAAAATTTCATTTTGCTAGCATTACAAATTTAACAAGCAAAAAATTCATTTAAAAGTAATGACATTTTACTGAATTTAAGAAGAATGATAAAAAGTATCTTGTATATTCAGAAAAGAAAGTTAAAAGTGGGGGTCTGTGATGTTAATTTTTAGATATTACTAAAATAGTGCTATTTTTGAGCTTAAATTAAGGGCTATTTTTTCTCTTGATTTTCACAATATATTTCATTTATTTATCAGATATGATGATTGAATTCATGACAGTTTATTAAATAAATAATTTAGGACCAGTATAAAACAGTTCACTGCTCAAAATAATTCTGTGTGCAGACTGCATGTAAAAATAGGAATCCAAACTTAACATACTTTAAATACTTCGAAAGAGAAAAAATGATCATTTTCTTCTAAAAAACCTTCCGCCATGAAATATAGTTCCTCATTTAATGCTTTTGGTACAGAATTTAATCTTGGAGTTTTAACTGAATATAGTTTATTTGTCATTGTAGAATCCAAATTTATTGTAAGAATTAAAACATTACGCAGATTTTTTTAAATATAGGTTAAAATAAAAATCTGCTCAAAAGCTCAGGAGCGAACCTCGTTAAGGAAAAATACTTGGAAATGTAAATATAACACAATATACCACATAGGGATGATAGGGACTCTTACCTGAGTTATCACGTCAATACAAGTGTTGACAGACAAACAGGTAGACCCATTTCGGGCATCTTTTTTTATGGTCAATTCCTTCTGTATGGTATTGAAATAGTTTGAAACAAACTGTTTGAGTTTCTTTAAATTATTGATAATAATTTTTGGAAAGATGTTATTAAAGCATTGATAAGAGTTAAGAGAAGTCCTGAACACGTATTAGATTATTTGTACTTAGATAAAAGAAATTATGTAGAGGTCAATAAGTGGGAATTTTATACAACATGAGTTGAAAAAGGTGTCAAAACCTGATCAACCTAGTGTCAGAAAATGGAAAAATAAAATGTTTCAATGAGATAAAAGATGTGCTTGGTACTAATAATCTTTTAAACTACACTGTACTTTCATCTGGTTTCAAAAATACCTTCAAAAATTAAAAGATTCAAAGAATGTAGAAATTAATAAAGAAATCTAATTTAAATTTCTATTTTTATACTTAATAAAATAGACTTCTTGACTAAAAAAGTTTTGAATTTACTAGGGGGAGGTAAATGCAAAATTTACAACATGATATTGGAATGACTTTGTACAATGCTTTAATGTCATTGTTGCTCAGAAATTTTCTCATATTAGTTGTAAAAAAGTTTATTATTCAAGATCATAAGGTTTTAAGCCAACATTAATTGATGCAGTAAGTTTATTTAAGTATTACAGAAACAGATAATATTATTGTGAAAACATAATTCAGTGTAAGGACAAAATACTTAGAAATGGGCCCTGTATGATAATGTGTACAAGTGAAGAAAAATCAAAATTGTATTTTCTTTATCTTTATTTTTTGGTCTTTTCGTTTTTGGACAAATTGCATGATCAACTGTGATATATTTATAATCATTTACATTAGTTTATTAAACAGGAAGTGTACTGTATACTGTGTGAGTGTGTGTTAGTGTGGTGGTGAGTGGGTGTAAATTGGTGTGTGTTTGTATATAGGTATGAAAAAAGGCTTCGAAATAAAGCATTTAAAAAGTTTTTTTTTTTTTTAAAGAGTTTTTGAGATAACCAATATACGTTCAATAATGTACATACAGACTGACAAAGATCAAACTGACTCAATTCCCCCTGAGAGTAAAGTATTTCTGTACAACATTTTAAAACGTTACGATGGAAACTTAGCGTAATCGCACAAACTATTTTTTTTTAAATTTATTTATAAGACATTGTGACATTCATTACGCAATTAAAATGCATGGTACAGAAACTTTCCCAAATTATAAAGGCTCTTAACATAGTGTGCACATAACAATTATATGAATTTAAACATAGATGGTTTTTCCCAGTAAATTTTTTAAATATACTTTATACCTAAGTCCTTATATCGTATATATTTTAAAACAAACTGGAATTCGTCTTCAATTTCAGATCTACACAGTTCACATTTTTTGCGTAAAATATGTTTTTGGCGTCCACTTTCTATAGCCAAATTATGTGATGACAGTCTTATCTTGCTAATTTGCTTTTTATAAATGCAAGGAATAGATTTTCTCAAATAATATTCCAATGAATAGCGTTTTTGAAAAGCATTCATCTAGATGAGCTATTGATATCTACAAGGAGATTCCGTACAATAGTGTCAATAACCTTTGGTTTATAATCAAGAAATAGCTATTTCAATTAATTCTTTCTTGGTCAGACCAATCCCTAATCCTAACCTTGAAGAACTTACAGTATGTACAGATAGAAAGACAAAGAGCTAGGACACCAAAATGTATAGATGTCTTTCTCTCATAGTTTTGTACTTTTGTACAAAATTTGAAAATATTTCTCTGTAAATTGTTTGAGTTATCGCTTAACGAAAACAAGATGTGTTTGTGAAACACTGATGCCCCCGTATGGCAACTTATAGCAAAAGGTTAAAATTTCTCAAATGCAAATCAAATATGTTGGTACCCAGAGTAAGGTCTTATCTCGAGGAATAAACCTGTGAAATATGAAAACCATAGGAGCAACCATTGAATAGATATTGAAAAGGTTAAAGTTTTCAAAAGTAAGTCAAATATCAAGGTCAAGGTCAAATGGTCAAAATTAATTGTGCCTTAGGAAAGGCCTTCTCACAAGAAATATACAGGTTAAATATGGAAACTGAAGCACCAATCTTTCAAAAGTTATGACCAAAGTTTAAGTTTTTTCAAAAGTAGGTCAAACTCTAAGGTCAAGGTCAATGGATTACAATTGGTTGTCTGTTTGTCCGCAAAAACTTTAACATTGCCCATAACTTTTGAACCGTTGGAGCTATGGCTTTCATATTTCACATGTGTATTTCTTGTGACAAGACCTTTCTTTGGGTACCACCATATTTGACCTTGACCTTGGAGTTTGACCTACTCTTGAAAAACTTTAACCTTGGCCATAACTTTTGAACCGTTGGTGCTAGGCCTTTCATACTTCACATATGTAATCCTTGTGACAAGACCTTCCTTTGGATACCAACAACTTTGACCTTGACCTTGGAGTTTGACCTACTTTTGAAAAACTTTAACCTTGGTCATAACTTTTGAACCGTTGGTGCTAGGCCTTTTATACTTAATATATGTAATCCTTGTGACAAGACCTTCCTTTGGATACCAACAACTTTGACCCTTTGACCTTGGAGTTTCACCTGTTTTTGAAAAACTTAAACCTTGGTCATAACTTTTGAACGATTGG